TGGCGGGTCAGGGTCAAGGCCGAGCTATCCAGATCATAGACAGTCCCAGCAGGGCCAAACGAACTTAGGACCTGTTAAGGCGGCCCAGCGACAAGTTTCCCCTACGAACGCAAAACGAAAATCGTGTGGCCTAGCCTCGTACTGTACTGCCTGCAGTAAACTTTTCGGCGAGGTTCGAATGATCCACAGATGTGATTCGCACACAATAATAGTCCATCCTAATAATAACTGCCCTATGTCTGGTGCAATCTTGAATCCATTTTTAGAATCTATAGCACATAAGTCACAAGAGTACTGTATATAACATTGAGGGCAAGATTCTATGCAGTATTTCAGAGGCACCAAAAGCAAAAATGACTCTCTTCGCTGGTTTATGTCTATTGCTTTGTACCTTAAACCTGGTCAATTGCCACACCTGGATCGAGCAATTGTCTCTGGTGGACAAGAATGGTCAGCCCGTGGGTGATCCCGGCTTCATTCGCGGCTATGGTAAAAGAGCACTATAAAGCCAAGCAGTTGGAATATACGCTGACAGGAAATAATTAGTGCCAAGAACCACACCTGGATTTGTCGATGGAGACAACACGTATCTTCTCCCCCAAGCACCGGCATTAACTTTTCAAGACTCAGATCTGATGTGCAAGTTGACTCAGGCGCAGGGTAATCAAAGCGGGGGACCCATCTTGATGGCCCCGCAAGGTAGTGCTGTTCTTCTGCGATACCTAGAGAATGGCCACATCACCCAGCCAGACGTTCCTCCGAACAAGCCCACATCGGGCCAAGTCTCGGTGTATGCCACCACCCAAGCCCGGGATGATGACAAATTTACCGCTATTCATGGCCAATGGACAGCTGATAAGACTGGAGGTGACCAACGTGGCTTTCTGTTGGCAGCCACGCCATTCGATGACGGTCGTTGTTTCCAGTTCGACCCTACTGGACACAGTGAAATCGCGACCAACCGAAGCAACACATTCGGTCCAGGACCCTCGACCACAGAGACACCCAACAGATGGTGTGGAACCACCATCAAGCTGAACGACGAAACAGGTAATCTGTTACCCAACGGAACCCTCGTCACACTCTATTGGGTGTGGGATTGGCCGACATATGTGCCTGGCAATCCCGGAACCTCCCCGGCTATATTGAACGAGACTTACACATCTTGCATGGAGGTGGAGATTGTCTGAGTTATTTGCATATCCACTAATGTTGTGCCAATGAACGGCGAGACCATCCGTGGATCGTGATTTTTGCTTACAAGCTAAATTGGAACTTCGAATTCTAGTCTGGGTCATGTTGGGTATCGACTTTGGTCAACTTCTCATAAAGTATATCAAGACATCAGTGGCAGCCTTTTCTGCAGTCTAGTGACCAATGATCGTTGATGCTTATTACAAGGCTTAACAACTCATTCATGTGCCTCGTGTACCGCATGACCAACGTATACTGTACATACAATCTGGCAATCGAAATCTCTGTCCGCCACCCCGGACATGGATGTTCTAGCGGACGTGGAATCCTGGATACCCCTGAGCAGCGGCCTCTTTGAGGAAGTTGATGTACCGATGCACCCCTCCAAGGTAACACAGAGGTTGCTTCTTCCGTCCCTGGATGTTCGCGCCCATATACCATGAATCAGTCTCACCGAATAAAGTCCTTTTAGCAGCCTGATCATTTTCTGCTTTCCAGACTTCTTCCGCCTGGTGATCAGGCTCAATCACTGCCTTATTCTCAAGCCTGAGCCAGGTTAGACAGTCGACAATCCACTGGCCCTGAACCTCAGCCATTTGTGGGGTGAGTCCTAGAGCAGATGGTGCTTGGGGACCGATCGGGAAGAACATGTTAGGAAATCCCTCTGTCATCAAACCAAGCGAAGTATGAATTCCCGCCGAATCGTCGGACAACATCCATTTCTCACGGAGATGCCGGCCTCCAACTCCTCGGATATCCATGGTAAGCATACTGCCGACGATAGCGTCGAAACCCGTTGCCAATATAAGCACGTCGAGCTCGTGAAAGTCTTGTGAGGTTCTAACGCCGTTTGGGAGTACTTGCTCTATAGGATGCTCATTGACATCGATGAGCACCACATTGTCCTGGTTGAACCTCTCGAAGTACGAGGTCTCCAATGACGGTCGTTTTGTCCCGAATGCATGGGGAGCTTGTACCGGGGCCAGCTTCGCAGCCACGCTGGGATCACGTACACGATCCCGAACCGACTTTGCCCAGAACCTGTAGGCCTCTTGGTTGGCCTCCCGGGAGGACAGCAGGTCGTCATAATTGGCTAACCAGAAATGGAGCCCTCCACGGTCGAACAGTCGTTTGTAAAATACTTCTCGTTGCTCGGCATTGTCATCGAACGTCTTCTTGGTCGGTCTGTCGGCATTGAACCCAAACCTCGATACGCGCTGGTCGAACAGTGCGGGATATCGAGTTTTCATCTGCCCACGCAGGTCATCATTGAGTACCTCCTGTCTCAGGGGAGTGGCCATGTTGGGCGTTCGTTGAAACACGACTAGCTTCTTAACATCGGGAGCCACGTTTTCGATGATTTGGATCCCGCTCGCACCCGTTCCCACGATGCCCACCCTCATGCCTGTCACAGAGAGATTCTCTGGCCACTCCGATGAATGGTACGCCAGTGGAAAAGACTCCAGGCCCGGGAATGTCGGCACATGCTTGATCGTAGTGTAGCCAGTGCACGGGACGAAATAAGTGGTTTCAGCCAGCAAACCCTGACCGCTGAAAATTCTCCAGTGCCGTGCTTGTTCATCCCAGTGAGCGGCCGTGATCCGCGTACCGAAGTCAATGTCCTCATAGATATTCAGCTTTTGGCAAACCCAGAGGAGGTAGTCTCGAATCTCCGCTCGTGAAGGAAACTTCTCGGACCATTTCCAATCTTTCCAGAGCTCGGGAAGACTAAACTCGTAGAAAGGGACTTCAGTGTCGACTCGACAACCTGGGTAGTTCGTATAATACCACACGCCTCCCACTCCTTCGCACGCGTCCAGGAGACGGACTGTAAAACCACTCTTTTTCAGGAGATACAGCAACCATAAGCCGGCCCAGCTTGCTCCGACAACGACGGCATCAAGCTTTTTGGGGGATGCCATGGTGTAGCCTCTTCAATGTTCAGCTAGGAAGTGCTTTTCGCTGCTCCCACGTTGCTCGTGAGAGACTCTGGGGTGATCTGCGTACGAAACGACTGATGTGAGATGCTGGCAGGGTCAGAGATGGAACTCCTGCTGTCAACGTATCAGTACTCCAGGGGGTAATTATAGTCAACATATCTGCCACGAACAAAAGTTCCTCCCCGTACGAAAGTCTTACAGTATCATCGCAAAGCTACGGTAGTCTGGATAGAAGCATGGAACTATTTCCTACCCCCTAGTTTGGGCTAAGTAGACGCGCATTGTTATGACGTCCTTAAGAGCGGACTTACGAACGTACCGAATCAGGTTCTACCCCTGCCATTAGGTCTAAGTATCCAAGCTCCAGCATCCTTAAGTCAATGTGAGTCATAAACTTCCCTGTGAGTCCTAAATGTTCAAATAGCATTCGTACGATCTTTGGCCTTGGTTTTCACAGCTCAATGTTCACCTGGCACTCCACTTCTCCTAGGTTACACCACCTCTTCTAGCGTAAAATCTGCATCTGCACCCTTCAGCACTGCGATCGTTCAGTATGCGACAACCTGTGCCCAGAGTGTAATGACAGCCCGATCAGGAGCTATATTGTACCTGTATGTTGACGTCAAAAAGCCAAGCGCTGGTGGTGATAGTTCAGAGGGGGTTCTACCAACGATCCTCGAGCGTGATACAGTAGGTACAATTTGAATACGAGCACAATATGGTTACGGAGATATGTACTGCACTGTACACTACGACACCATTTAAGTCTCAATACTATCGACCAGAGTACTGTATTGGAAAGAGATGTTGAATCATGATATGGTTCTACCTGTATTCTAAATGGGCTACCATACTTTAGCCCTGCCTCTGGGAAGTGGACACTATCACAAAGGTTGGTCACCCAAACTCCAGTGCAGACCTCACAGACTGTTCCTTCTTACGCCACGTACATAACCATCTGATGGCAGCTATAGGCGTCCCGTGACCCGGGGGGGTCGCTAACCAAACAAAGTGCGAAGAATAACTATGATCAGAGGAACAGAAGCCCCAGACGATGTGTTTGTCGATGTAGTTCCGTCACCTACATGAGTCGTCAATGCTGGAACAGTTGTAAGAGACCCAAAGTGCACTGAGGTGCTTTGCGTAGTGAAACGTGTCGTGGATGGAATGAACGAACTCGTGCTCGGAAATGTAGTGGTGGACAGTCGAGTAGAATTGATCGACATTGACGTGGAGCTTCGAAAGGTCTGTGTGACTGAGGATGTCGGTTCAGGCTCAGTGCTAGTACTCAACAGCGTTGGGAGAGGCCCGTCAACGGAAGGGAATCTCGGGGTCAAAGATGTGTCTATGTTCCCATCATCCTGGATAGTGACGTTGACGGTGAAGACGGAGGAGTTTCCACCAATGTTGACATCAATCTCGGGAGAGGTTGATTTGAGGGTGACATTGGCAGAAAGTCCTTTGGGTACAAATGTTGGTAGTCTCATATTGCGATGTCTGGTAATATTTGGCAAAATGTGGTCAGAGAAGAGGTGTTTCCTGGCGGCTCTTGATGGGAGAAAGTTCAGACGGTGGTCTTATACTCGATCTCAAAGTCCCTAAATTTAGCAGAAGTAAAAATAGACACATCTGTTGCTATTATTATCTGTGAAATAGGCCGCGGCTGTCCTTAAAAGGAGTGCATGCTCACTTCACATCCTCCTTTCCCCCTCTCACACATCTACAGTGCTCTACTTCAGTTCTCTTGTTTCAGAATCCTTTGGGAAAGCTACACCTCGTTCAAACTTCGTACTCTACCCAACTGTTAGCAATATTGTTCAATCTTCGTCACAAAAGCATCAAAACAACCCCAAACAACCCCCAAAAATGAGCTCTGGAGGCAGTGAACTTATCAAGAACCCGCAGCCTAAGGCACTCGGCAGTGATGATCCTAGTAAATCACACGAGGAAAATGGTAGGACAGATGATAAACAGGCTAACACTGCTGGCTATCCCTCTCTTCCTTCTCTTGAGGGCGCAGATGCCACGAAGCCAACGCCAGACCGAGATGGCGATCTACCAATGCCAGATCCTGAGGTGAATGTCACCAATGAAGATCCGGGGGCAAAAACCGGCGCAAAATCTACTAACAATGGGAGAATATATACCAAAGAACAACGGGACGAGGTGAACCGTGTCCTGAAGTGCAATGAAAAGGAGTACTATCAGATCCTAAAACTGTCCCGAGATACGCCTGACCTCAATATCAAACGGGCCTACTTCAGACTCTCAACATTGATTCACCCGGACAAGAATGCTGACAAAGAAACCACCGCGGCATTTCAAAGTTAGTGCTACATGTCCACATGTGTCTCCGTTGATAAATTAGACTAACAGTGTGTCCAGAGGTGCAAGCAGCCTACGACGTCCTAAATGATCCAGTACGGAAAGGAGAGTATGATGCGGCAAGTCGAACTAACCAGCCTGAAGCCAAAAGTAACCAGGCCCCAACCTTCGATGAAGAATTTGGGTCTAACGCATGGGGCAGTGACGCTGACGAAGCCTCTGATGGCGAGGATGATCTCGATGACACTGAACAGGTCCCGGATGAGTTCAGACTCAAGGTTTTTGAACAAGCCACGCCCCATGTGAACAAGGTATTGGCGAAGCATACAGATTCGTCCAGCCTTGCGGAAATAGAGCAACTCAACCAAAAGATCAAAGAAAAGAATGAAGTAGATGAGCTCCCGAGTAAAGAGAGCTTCTTGATCCGAACCAACGTCTTGAAAGCCATTGGATTGGAAATGTCGCATGTGAGGTCCCGCCTACGTGAGAATCCCAACGATGCAGCCGCTTTTCACCAGCTGGTCTCACTCGATAAGCAGTTGAAGTCTCTCTGCAGGGTCAACCATTATCCACAGAGTTGGAGACTTAAGATTCCGGATGGCTGGCGCAAGAGGGTTGAGGAGTACGAAGCGACGGAAGAAGGTGGAAAAGGAAAGGGAAAAGCACAAGGTGAGGGGTCTTCAGCGGCGCGATCCGAGGGAATGAATGGTGGTGCTGAATCAGGGCCATCAAACAAATCTCCAAAGGCCACAGGCTCAAGCGAGAAAGGGGCGCCGTCTTCAAAGTCCAACAAGGTCGCCCGGAAACCTTACTGGGAACCAGGCATGACGACGGACGGTGAGAAAATCTTAGGGCATCGACCCTTCTATCGAACAGATCGAAAGACAGGCGTCGAGATTATGTTCGGTGTTCAGTTTGTGGTCGAACAACGCGGATCTGACAACCCCATCATCCTCCTCTCGGGAACCGAAGTCGGTCACCATGCGACAGATGCTTACTTTGACTTGCCGGAGTCCAAGCGAAAAGACCTTCGACATTCTAATCGAAAATATTCTTGCAAGGACAAGGCTAACTTCGAAGAGCTCCTCGGCTTTACGACGAAGAAGATGGAATGCATGACCATCTCCGAGCCGGTCACGAGGTATCCTGGGTACGGATTGGTCAAATTCAAGAATGGCGAAACCGACATTTTGAGCCGCACCGCATTGAGGAAGATCTTCGGAAAGAAGGACGCGGATGATAAAATTGCACGGTTCTTTCCCAGACCATCGCACCTCATTGAGCCGGCTCAGACCAAAGGCCAGCTAATGTCAGGCTCACATGGGCGAGGGAAGATCGATGGGCGTGCTTTCGAAAAAACCCTCGACTCGGAAGAGTTGTTCATTCCAGAGCAGACATCAAGGAAATCAAAAGGCTTGAAGTCGGCGCAAGGTCAACTAGAAGCCCAGCCAGAGAACTCTGATCTGATGGCTGCAATCATGGCTCAACTGGCGCGCTTAGAACAAAAAGTGTCGCAACTCTCAGGGTGAAAGTGAGATCAAGGGCTTTACCTGGACGGATTCGGCGTTTCTCCGCTGACGTATTGCCTCTCGGTTTCTTTCAGATGAGTTGGGGATAGATTTCTACCATTAGCAGCTGATTACATCAGAGGGGCACCGGCGTCTTGCGAGTGGTCGGATATGGATGCATGGGATTTTATGCAGTGATCGAAGTATGTAGTGTAGGATAGATTGTCAAGTGATCTCTATGGTTGATCTTCGTACAGTACTGTACCAAACAGCATCCGTGAACTTGAGTATGTACATTACTCCAATTGCGCTATATCCCTGCACATGCACTTAATCGTTCATGCGTTTTGTTCTCCGACGTACTGATTAAATTGCCAATTCATTAGTTCATTGTCACGTTCAGGTACTTTGTGTTCAGGTACTTTAGACGCATCGTAATCGATTCCATTCGAACTTGTTGGCAGGTCTTTCTCATGAGCTTTCTGGGCAGATTCTGTCCATGGCCCGAAATCACACATGGATAGTTCACTCCAGCTTGTGTGATCTTGGTAGAAGGGTAGGTTTGGATCATTGTTCATGGTCGGACCAAAATCCCGTGGTAATCTGGAGTCTAGCTCTGGATTCCCCCAGGAGCAAGACAGACACGGTCGAGCGTTCAGATAATAAGAACATGAGGAATTTCCGTGTGGAAGCCATGTGTAAGGAGCGAGCATGACAGAGAGGGGTGGCTGTCCGATGGCAACAACAATCGGGAGTGTGACGGCTGCGTAGGCTGGCATGACGGTTGGACAAATAGAGATGGCAGGAGTGCCGAGACCACGCCAAGGGTTGTTCGAATCATAGTTGATCTGCCAGCAAGCGCTAGCGGACGAGGGGTCCGAGATCGACGGATGTGCTTCGGCTCTCGGTTGCTGCCCCG